CATGTGTGTGCCTTGTATTAGGTCATTAATAAATATATTATATTACACCTACTGTGGTTCCTTTAGTTCCTATGGTAGAGCACACACATCATACCTAGTTTCAATATTTCATTATGTGTGTCTACCCCCACCCCACGTTCGTATTTCCCGCTAAATCTATTCTCTTTTTCATTGGTTTATTTTGGTTTGTCTCATTTTCTATATATTTCATTGGTCAACCCCGTCGCGGGCGGTAGCCACCCCTTCAGGGGTGGCCCAACGAAAGGCGCATGCGCCCACGCATTTTGGAGGCCAATTACACAATTACGATCAATTAATTACCGATATATTTTCGAATAATAGAATTTAAAAGTCGTCAATAAATTAGTTAAAATTACAACACTTTTCTAAAATTTCATAATGTACCATATAATAGTTGTATAATTTATGACATTAACAATAAAAATATTTCAATTGTAATATTAATAATATTGAAAATTTAAGATTTTTAACCTCATCGATAGTTGTGAGGTTATCCGATGCGATTCTACAATGTTCACGATAAGAAGAACACATGCCGACAAATTTCAAGATGCTCATCGATCGTGTGAAGAAAATATCGTGAAAATTCGTTTCAGGAAGAAAGAACTGCATGAACTAGAGATGATTTGTCATGAAGATTCTTTAGATTTCGATGTGAATGGTTATTGTCAAATGAAAATGGAAAATGTAAATTTTTACCATGTTCATTACCATCGACATAATTTATAACGCCTATGTTTAAATAATTTATATACTTATCTAACTATTTCAAATAGATAATTTCCAATTCATTTCTCGGAATATTTTGATTTTTTTTAATTTATTATAATAATAAAAAAATTGGAATATCTGTTCAGATAAAAAGTACTTCACATCATTTCTTAAAATAAAATCTCAAAATTCCCCAAAGTTATACTTAAAACGAAAAACACTTTTATACTTCATTCCTTTCTACAAAATTTATAAACACATGATTTTTCTAAATATATTAATTATTGTCCCAAATAAAATTTTTCTACAAAAAAAAAATTAAACAAAATAAAAATTTTATATATAAACGCACACCTTTATAAAAGTTCAAAACGATATCAAATTCTCACCCCATCTCCAACCGGTCTCTAATTGAATTTTAATGACCTTTTCCATATAAAAGAAACTACCCTTCCAACTTTTATTTACCACCGGTGACAATAAACGCGAAACATAATTGGACAGCCATCTCCGGCGCCATAAAGAACGCGAAGATAAAATACAACAAGGCCAGGTCCGTGAAGGACGGCATCAAGGTGTTCCCAGAGACCACCGAAGACTACAGGAACTTAATCAAGTTCCTAAACGCCCACAATGCGGAGTACTACACGTACGCATTAAAGGTTGAGAAAAAAACCAAGATGGTCATAAAGGGCCTCTTTAAAGAACTACCCCTCACAGAGATCGAGGAAGACCTGAAGGCACAAGGTATAGAAGATGCAAAAGTAGTTCAGCTACTGAAGAAAAAGAGGGGAGACAAAGGAGAGAAACTGGTCTCCGAGTTCTTCATTGTGACGACTTGCAATGAAAACATAAAAAAGATTACAAACATTTGCTCCGGAAAGGTCACGCTCGAGGAGCCAAATAAAATCAGTGAGGTACCGCAATGCCATACGTGCCAAAAGTTTGGCCACGGCCAAAGTAGATGCACCTTCCAACACAGGTGCGTCAAGTGCGGCAAGGACCACCCCACCCGGGAATGCACCATTCCGTCGGAGCCCAAAACGGGGAACGTGAAGTGCGCAAACTGCGGCGGCCCCCATGTAGCAAGCTACAGGGGTTGCCCCAGCGTCCCCAAGACCGACGCACAAAAGAGGAGGGAAATTCAAAGAAAACAAGCTCCCCCCACGAGGCAAGAACCACCACAACCACCCAGACAGGCTCCTACTCAACAACCAAGGCAAGTCACGCCGCAAATTCAACAACAGGACATTACAACTATCCTGGCGTCGCTACAAGCCATTTTACTGAAATTAGCCCCCCAGTAAATGGCCATACAAATCAGGCCCACGTCCTTGAGAGCGACAACGTGGAACATACGGGGCATACGGGCCAACAAAGCCGATATCGAAGAATATCTGGCAGAATATGACGTAGACATACTAGGGCTACAACAGACACTCATAAGAGGCGGGACGAACATCAGATTCCACAACTACGTCATATACAGAAGAGACAGCCCAAACGGAAACGCCCGAACAAACGCAGGAATCGCGATACTAGTGAAGGAATCACTAGACCACGAATACTTAGGGATTCAAGACACCGGACTGGACGCCATCACCGTAAGAGTGAACATGAGGGACGGAACCACGCTCAAGATCACCACTGTATACAGGCAAAGTACTGTCAACATCACGGCAGAAGACATAGCTACCCTAATGATGGGAAGAGAATCCCAAATAATAATAGGAGATTTCAACAGTCACGCCAGAAGCTGGAACAGCAGGCAGTACTGTCCAAATGGAAGAACATTGGAAGCCGAGGTAGCAAGAAATGGGGGAACGGCCATCGGACCGGACGAGCCGATCCATTATCCCGACAATATGATGTGATTGACATAGCCATAATCAAGAACCTGCGAATGCCCTACGCCATAGCAACGATGAACGAAGGTAAGTACAAGGTAAGAAGGACGGACTGGAAAGCGTTCAAGGAGAAATGCGCACAAAGGATTAGCCTGGCAAGAAGACTCGTAACGAGACAAGACCCGGATGAAGAGATCGCCACCCTGGAAGGCACGATCCTGCAGGCCTATGAGGACTCAACGACTACCGAAATACGCAAAAAAGACAAAAGAATAGGCGGACCACTCCCTCCACATATCGACAGGAAAATCAGAGATCGGAGAAGACTCAGGAGAATCTATTGGAGAAATAGAATTGAGCAAAACAGAATAACCCTGAACCGAGCATCTAACCAACTGAAGGAGATGCTACGCCAGCACAGAAACAGACAATGGAAAAGAAAAACCGGAGACAACACTATGTGGAGAATGCAAAAGGTATTGCGGAATCCCAGGACCACGATTCCACCAATACACGGAGAAAATGGTCTAGCATACACCAGCTTAGAAAAAGCGGAAGCATTCGCGGACTGCCTGGAGCGCGAAGGCAGGACAAACACCGAAGAAAACGAAGAAACGGAAGAAATAGAACGCAAAATGGCCAGACCAGCAAGGGAGGTTAGAGAACAGGATGACAGTGAGGAAGTCGCTGATCCAATAACCCCTAAAGAAATAGTTGCGCATATAAAGAACTCCAGAACGAGAAAAGCTCCAGGACCGGACCAAGTGACCAACATAATGTTAAAGAACTTACCAAGAAAAGGTTTCGTGGCAGTTACCAATATAGGCAACGCAATCCTCAGGCTGAGGTACTTCCCCGACGCCTGGAAGGAAGCCTCGGTGACTATGATTCCCAAACCAAGAAAAAACAGAACTTTTCCACAAAATTACAGGCCTATCAGTCTAGTAAGCAGCATGAGCAAGATCATCGAAAGAGCTATCCTCACAAGAATTAAGACCTTCACGGAGGCAATGCAGGTATTACCTGAAGAACAGTTCGGGTTCAGGGCAGGACACTCCACCTAAATGCAACTTCTAAGACTCGTCGAACAAGCCGCAGAAGGCATCGAAAGAGAACAAGCAACAGGATTGGTATTACTAGACATAGAGAGAGCCTTCGACCGAGTCTGAAAACAAGGACTCGTGGGAAAGATGAAGACCATAGGATACCCCAACTGGATCTGCAAACTGACGGATTCCTATTTGAGGAATAGGAGGATCCAGGTGAAAGTAGGGCAAGAAAAATCGCAACCGAGGATCTTGGAAGCAGGAGTCCCACATCCCTCCCCATCTCTACACGATATTTACCCACGACGTACCGAAACTCCAAAGAACCGAACTTGGACCGTACGCAGATGATACAGCCTTATCATTCAGGACACCAAACGTAGATTAAGTAACGAGAAAAATGCAAAGAGCACTCGACGATTTGGAAAAATGTTGCACCAAATGAAAAATAAAAATAAACGCCAACAAAACGGAGGCAGTGCTGATCACGAAGAAAAGAACAAGACCCCGCGAAACACTCAACCTCAACGGAGAGGACATCGAGTGGAAGGACTCCGTAAAATATCTCGGGGTGAAGATCGACAAAAAACTAATGTTTAAACAGCACATAGACGACAATATAGCCAAAACCAGGGCAGTAGCGACTCAACTATATCCTATCTTAGGGAGACACAGCGAGATGAACCCAAACAACAAGGTCACGCTGATAAAGGCGGTTATAAGACCGACACTGACCTATGCATCTACTGCATGGGACTTTGCGGCAAAAACCTACATGGAAAGGCTCAGAGCTTGCGAGAGCAAAATCAACAGGCGGGTAGTAGGAGCTCCATACTACGTAAGAAACGAAAATATCAGAAGAGATCTGAAACTCAACACTCTGTTGGAGTTAGTCGTGGATGTTCAAACACACCGCCGCTTCGAGGGTGGCTCTCGACATACCTACCCCGAGACCATAAACACTGCAAATTCTGTTTTCTCACACAAAGTCGTAAAAAGACAGCGGCATCGAAATGAGGGTTGAGGGTTGGGTGATGGTTAGTTTTGCCGCCGAACCTTTTAGCCTCATTTAGTCGTGGATGTTCAAATGCGCTTGTAGTCCTATATTAAAGTGGAAAGTGTGTGGTAGATGCAAATATCGTTTTTATTTTCGAAACGGTCAGTTTTGTGCTGCTTGTGATTTTCGGGTTGCGATTTTTGGTTACGGTTATAGAGAGACACAGTTTTGTTTGTCAGTGCCTTTACTTTTTTTTCGAGATATTTTTACCATAGACAATGAACGGGTAAGTGACTAATTAGATAATTATTTGTAAATCTGCGAGTGAATTATCCTAAAGCCTTTAATTAACTAATCAACCGCTGTTTATTCTGATTCAGTTTTTTATCTGCATTATACAGGTGCGTCGCTATTGAAGTATTACGTTGCCACCGGTGCCTACTCAGGGCCGACACTGTCTGCCCTGAAGCGATATTCGCTTGCGATGGCGTCGAGGCGCATACGTTCTGCGCCTCGTGTGCCGATGTGATTGGCTGGTTGCAAAATGAACCCCCGCTACTTTGCCCCTTTTGCGGGATGATTGTTTTTCGCTCCAGGGTGCTGGAGCGAATGGCTTTTTTGGGAGAAAGGTAAATGTTTTTGTTAAAAAAAAAAGGAAGCAAAATAAATAAATTAAAATAACTCGCTATATTCTTGTTCATCATAGAAGACGCCAAGAAATGGAGAGGATGCCTGGCCCTCCACCCTTAATCCCAATTCAGGAGATCCCGAAGTAACTAATTTCACCCCTTATTTTAAAATAAAAATACTAACACTTTTTTCAACCAAAAAAAAATAGCTTCCAAGACGTAATCTCCATCGGATCCAGCGAGGAGACAGCGGAATTCCCACACCATGGCGGGGAAGTTAGACCGGGTTCGCCAAGCTCGGGGAGTAGCACCGTAAGCTACATTTTCGAGTTGCCGCCTCCCTTGGATCCTGAGGAGTCGCTCGATTCGGGATATGGACACGAACATATTTAAAAAAAGTACGAGCGGGTATTTCCACGATAACGCTGACACCGTTAAATTTCTAATTTTCTTTTTTCAGATTCCGGAATATAAATATTTGCTCGTTACCTCTCGTGTTTTATTTCCTCTGTCCTTGGTGCGCAATAAAAGCACAGTTTGTACCCGCGAGGGTACACATTCGCAGAATTATATGTTTTTAAAATAAATGTTTTGGTCAATATTCACTAGGTGGGGTTACCTTATTCAAGAAAATCTTATTCCAAGAGGGGACACTAGTTTACATTCGAACCGCTAGAGGGTGCAGATGGTCACGCGAACAATATGATCAAGTCTCATTGACGCCATTGCTTTTCTTAGGGGTGGGAAAATATCTGGGCTCTGATTGGCTTCGCCGCCATCGGAAACTAGAGGAGGGGGGATCGATTAAACCCCACATTTCTGGTTGCTTATCCAATGGGGGCCAGTTTCAAGGGATTTTGGGTAAAGGCGGAGGAGCTAGAGAGTCGTGGGTAAGGAGGACACCCCACAAAAAAAGGGAGAGGAGTGGGGGAAGCCTATCCTGTACCAATAAACTACTAACGCAATACGCGCTGGCACACTTCCAACACCCCCTCCATGTAAAGGATAAAGAAGACTGGAGACGCTACAATAACAGCGTTGACGGCATCATCCTGGACGATCTAGACTTCCCCAATTGCAGTCCCCTCACCTTACTCAAACTACTCGATATGGAGACGCCCATCACCCAGAACATCAAATACGGGGCAACCAGAATTCAAGCAGGTACACCCAGGATAATTTGTGTAAACCACTTGGATCTGTTTTGGCCCAAAGGGATACACACGGAAACAATTAAAGCCTGCGAAAGACGAATAACAATTGTACACATAGAAGCACTACTCTTTAACTACCGCGCCACAACACCTGACAACCCGATACCTCAACACCTACTACCAACACCAGACAAACGAACAGCAAAAAAACAATCAAAACCGTGCAACCTGTGCAACAACCCAACAACCTAAGAATTCTGTTGGAAATGCAAATACGACCTAACACTGGAGCTACAACAACTCGACATTGAAGAAAACGAAAACGGACCCACCACGAGCGCATCCACCAAAAACCTGGAACACGAAGCCTCCGACTGAAACTATATAGCATGTGTGTGCCTTGTATTACGTCATTAATAAATATATTATATTACACCTACTGTGGTTCCTTTAGTTCCTATGGTAGAGCACACACATCATACCTAGTTTCAATATTTCATTATGTGTGTCTACCCCTACCCCACGTTCGTATTTCCCGCTAAATCTATTCTCTTTTTCATTGGTTTATTTTGGTTTGTCTCATTTTCTATATATTTCATTGGTCAACCCCGTCGCGGGCGGTAGCCACCCCTTCAGGGGTGGCCCAACGAAAGGCGCATGCGCCCACGCATTTTGGAGGCCAATTACACAATTACGATCAATTAATTACCGATATATTTTCGAATAATAGAATTTAAAAGTCGTCAATAAATTAGTTAAAATTACAACACTTTTCTAAAATTTCATAATGTACCATATAATAGTTGTATAATTTATGACATTAACAATAAAAATATTTCAATTGTAATATTAATAATATTGAAAATTTAAGATTTTTAACCTCATCGATAGTTGTGAGGTTATCCGATGCGATTCTACAATGTTCACGATAAGAAGAACACATGCCGACAAATTTCAAGATGCTCATCGATCGTGTGAAGAAAATATCGTGAAAATTCGTTTCAGGAAGAAAGAACTGCATGAACTAGAGATGATTTGTCATGAAGATTCTTTAGATTTCGATGTGAATGGTTATTGTCAAATAATTTATAACGCCTATGTTTAAATAATTTATATACTTATCTAACTATTTCAAATAGATAATTTCCAATTCATTTCTCGGAATATTTTGATTTTTTTTAATTTATTATAATAATAAAAAAATTGGAATATCTGTTCAGATAAAAAGTACTTCACATCATTTCTTAAAATAAAATCTCAAAATTCCCCAAAGTTAATATACTTAAAACGAAAAACACTTTTATACTTCATTCCTTTCTACAAAATTTATAAACACATGATTTTTCTAAATATATTAATTATTGTCCCAAATAAAATTTTTCTACAAAAAAAAAATTAAACAAAATAAAAATTTTATATATAAACGCACACCTTTATAAAAGTTCAAAACGATATCAAATTCTCACCCCATCTCCAACCGGTCTCTAATTGAATTTTAATGACCTTTTCCATATAAAAGAAACTACCCTTCCAACTTTTATTTACCACCGGTGACAATAAACGCGAAACATAATTGGACAGCCATCTCCGGCGCCATAAAGAACGCGAAGATAAAATACAACAAGGCCAGGTCCGTGAAGGACGGCATCAAGGTGTTCCCAGAGACCACCGAAGACTACAGGAACTTAATCAAGTTCCTAAACGCCCACAATGCGGAGTACTACACGTACGCATTAAAGGTTGAGAAAAAAACCAAGATGGTCATAAAGGGCCTCTTTAAAGAACTACCCCTCACAGAGATCGAGGAAGACCTGAAGGCACAAGGTATAGAAGATGCAAAAGTAGTTCAGCTACTGAAGAAAAAGAGGGGAGACAAAGGAGAGAAACTGGTCTCCGAGTTCTTCATTGTGACGACTTGCAATGAAAACATAAAAAAGATTACAAACATTTGCTCCGGAAAGGTCACGCTCGAGGAGCCAAATAAAATCAGTGAGGTACCGCAATGCCATACGTGCCAAAAGTTTGGCCACGGCCAAAGTAGATGCACCTTCCAACACAGGTGCGTCAAGTGCGGCAAGGACCACCCCACCCGGGAATGCACCATTCCGTCGGAGCCCAAAACGGGGAACGTGAAGTGCGCAAACTGCGGCGGCCCCCATGTAGCAAGCTACAGGGGTTGCCCCAGCGTCCCCAAGACCGACGCACAAAAGAGGAGGGAAATTCAAAGAAAACAAGCTCCCCCCACGAGGCAAGAACCACCACAACCACCCAGACAGGCTCCTACTCAACAACCAAGGCAAGTCACGCCGCAAATTCAACAACAGGACATTACAACTATCCTGGCGTCGCTACAAGCCATTTTACTGAAATTAGCCCCCCAGTAAATGGCCATACAAATCAGGCCCACGTCCTTGAGAGCGACAACGTGGAACATACGGGGCATACGGGCCAACAAAGCCGATATCGAAGAATTTCTGGCAGAATATGACGTAGACATACTAGGGCTACAACAGACACTCATAAGAGGCGGGACGAACATCAGATTCCACAACTACGTCATATACAGAAGAGACAGCCCAAACGGAAACGCCCGAACAAACGCAGGAATCGCGATACTAGTGAAGGAATCACTAGACCACGAATACTTAGGGATTCAAGACACCGGACTGGACGCCATCACCGTAAGAGTGAACATGAGGGACGGAACCACGCTCAAGATCACCACTGTATACAGGCAAAGTACTGTCAACATCACGGCAGAAGACATAGCTACCCTAATGATGGGAAGAGAATCCCAAATAATAATAGGAGATTTCAACAGTCACGCCAGAAGCTGGAACAGCAGGCAGTACTGTCCAAATGGAAGAACATTGGAAGCCGAGGTAGCAAGAAATGGGGGAACGGCCATCGGACCGGACGAGCCGATCCATTATCCCGACAATATGATGTGATTGACATAGCCATAATCAAGAACCTGCGAATGCCCTACGCCATAGCAACGATGAACGAAGGTAAGTACAAGGTAAGAAGGACGGACTGGAAAGCGTTCAAGGAGAAATGCGCACAAAGGATTAGCCTGGCAAGAAGACTCGTAACGAGACAAGACCCGGATGAAGAGATCGCCACCCTGGAAGGCACGATCCTGCAGGCCTATGAGGACTCAACGACTACCGAAATACGCAAAAAAGACAAAAGAATAGGCGGACCACTCCCTCCACATATCGACAGGAAAATCAGAGATCGGAGAAGACTCAGGAGAATCTATTGGAGAAATAGAATTGAGCAAAACAGAATAACCCTGAACCGAGCATCTAACCAACTGAAGGAGATGCTACGCCAGCACAGAAACAGACAATGGAAAAGAAAAACCGGAGACAACACTATGTGGAGAATGCAAAAGGTATTGCGGAATCCCAGGACCACGATTCCACCAATACACGGAGAAAATGGTCTAGCATACACCAGCTTAGAAAAAGCGGAAGCATTCGCGGACTGCCTGGAGCGCGAAGGCAGGACAAACACCGAAGAAAACGAAGAAACGGAAGAAATAGAACGCAAAATGGCCAGACCAGCAAGGGAGGTTAGAGAACAGGATGACAGTGAGGAAGTCGCTGATCCAATAACCCCTAAAGAAATAGTTGCGCATATAAAGAACTCCAGAACGAGAAAAGCTCCAGGACCGGACCAAGTGACCAACATAATGTTAAAGAACTTACCAAGAAAAGGTTTCGTGGCAGTTACCAATATAGGCAACGCAATCCTCAGGCTGAGGTACTTCCCCGACGCCTGGAAGGAAGCCTCGGTGACTATGATTCCCAAACCAAGAAAAAACAGAACTTTTCCACAAAATTACAGGCCTATCAGTCTAGTAAGCAGCATGAGCAAGATCATCGAAAGAGCTATCCTCACAAGAATTAAGACCTTCACGGAGGCAATGCAGGTATTACCTGAAGAACAGTTCGGGTTCAGGGCAGGACACTCCACCTAAATGCAACTTCTAAGACTCGTCGAACAAGCCGCAGAAGGCATCGAAAGAGAACAAGCAACAGGATTGGTATTACTAGACATAGAGAGAGCCTTCGACCGAGTCTGAAAACAAGGACTCGTGGGAAAGATGAAGACCATAGGATACCCCAACTGGATCTGCAAACTGACGGATTCCTATTTGAGGAATAGGAGGATCCAGGTGAAAGTAGGGCAAGAAAAATCGCAACCGAGGATCTTGGAAGCAGGAGTCCCACATCCCTCCCCATCTCTACACGATATTTACCCACGACGTACCGAAACTCCAAAGAACCGAACTTGGACCGTACGCAGATGATACAGCCTTATCATTCAGGACACCAAACGTAGATTAAGTAACGAGAAAAATGCAAAGAGCACTCGACGATTTGGAAAAATGTTGCACCAAATGAAAAATAAAAATAAACGCCAACAAAACGGAGGCAGTGCTGATCACGAAGAAAAGAACAAGACCCCGCGAAACACTCAACCTCAACGGAGAGGACATCGAGTGGAAGGACTCCGTAAAATATCTCGGGGTGAAGATCGACAAAAAACTAATGTTTAAACAGCACATAGACGACAATATAGCCAAAACCAGGGCAGTAGCGACTCAACTATATCCTATCTTAGGGAGACACAGCGAGATGAACCCAAACAACAAGGTCACGCTGATAAAGGCGGTTATAAGACCGACACTGACCTATGCATCTACTGCATGGGACTTTGCGGCAAAAACCTACATGGAAAGGCTCAGAGCTTGCGAGAGCAAAATCAACAGGCGGGTAGTAGGAGCTCCATACTACGTAAGAAACGAAAATATCAGAAGAGATCTGAAACTCAACACTCTGTTGGAGTTAGTCGTGGATGTTCAAACACACCGCCGCTTCGAGGGTGGCTCTCGACATACCTACCCCGAGACCATAAACACTGCAAATTCTGTTTTCTCACACAAAGTCGTAAAAAGACAGCGGCATCGAAATGAGGGTTGAGGGTTGGGTGATGGTTAGTTTTGCCGCCGAACCTTTTAGCCTCATTTAGTCGTGGATGTTCAAATGCGCTTGTAGTCCTATATTAAAGTGGAAAGTGTGTGGTAGATGCAAATATCGTTTTTATTTTCGAAACGGTCAGTTTTGTGCTGCTTGTGATTTTCGGGTTGCGATTTTTGGTTACGGTTATAGAGAGACACAGTTTTGTTTGTCAGTGCCTTTACTTTTTTTTCGAGATATTTTTACCATAGACAATGAACGGGTAAGTGACTAATTAGATAATTATTTGTAAATCTGCGAGTGAATTATCCTAAAGCCTTTAATTAACTAATCAACCGCTGTTTATTCTGATTCAGTTTTTTATCTGCATTATACAGGTGCGTCGCTATTGAAGTATTACGTTGCCACCGGTGCCTACTCAGGGCCGACACTGTCTGCCCTGAAGCGATATTCGCTTGCGATGGCGTCGAGGCGCATACGTTCTGCGCCTCGTGTGCCGATGTGATTGGCTGGTTGCAAAATGAACCCCCGCTACTTTGCCCCTTTTGCGGGATGATTGTTTTTCGCTCCAGGGTGCTGGAGCGAATGGCTTTTTTGGGAGAAAGGTAAATGTTTTTGTTAAAAAAAAAAGGAAGCAAAATAAATAAATTAAAATAACTCGCTATATTCTTGTTCATCATAGAAGACGCCAAGAAATGGAGAGGATGCCTGGCCCTCCACCCTTAATCCCAATTCAGGAGATCCCGAAGTAACTAATTTCACCCCTTATTTTAAAATAAAAATACTAACACTTTTTTCAACCAAAAAAAAAATAGCTTCCAAGACGTAATCTCCATCGGATCCAGCGAGGAGACAGCGGAATTCCCACACCATGGCGGGGAAGTTAGACCGGGTTCGCCAAGCTCGGGGAGTAGCACCGTAAGCTACATTTTCGAGTTGCCGCCTCCCTTGGATCCTGAGGAGTCGCTCGATTCGGGATATGGACACGAACATATTTAAAAAAAGTACGAGCGGGTATTTCCACGATAACGCTGACACCGTTAAATTTCTAATTTTCTTTTTTCAGATTCCGGAATATAAATATTTACTCGTTACCTCTCGTGTTTTATTTCCTCTGTCCTTGGTGCGCAATAAAAGCACAGTTTGTACCCGCGAGGGTACACATTCGCAGAATTATATGTTTTTAAAATAAATGTTTTGGTCAATATTCACTAGGTGGGGTTACCTTATTCAAGAAAATCTTATTCCAAGAGGGGACACTAGTTTACATTCGAACCGCTAGAGGGTGCAGATGGTCACGCGAACAATATGATCAAGTCTCATTGACGCCATTGCTTTTCTTAGGGGTGGGAAAATATCTGGGCTCTGATTGGCTTCGCCGCCATCGGAAACTAGGGGAGGGGGGATCGATTAAACCCCACATTTCTGGTTGCTTATCCAATGGGGGCCAGTTTCAAGGGATTATGGGTAAAGGCGGAGGAGCTAGAGAGTCGTGGGTAAGGAGGACACCCCACAAAAAAAGGGAGAGGAGTGGGGGAAGCCTATCCTGTACCAATAAACTACTAACGCAATACGCGCTGGCACACTTCCAACACCCCCTCCATGTAAAGGATAAAGAAGACTGGAGACGCTACAATAACAGCGTTGACGGCATCATCCTGGACGATCTAGACTTCCCCAATTGGAGTCCCCTCACCTTACTCAAACTACTCGATATGGAGACGCCCATCACCCAGAACATCAAATACGGGGCAACCAGAATTCAAGCAGGTACACCCAGGATAATTTGTGTAAACCACTTGGATCTGTTTTGGCCCCAAGGGATACACACGGAAACAATTAAAGCCTGCGAAAGACGAATAACAATTGTACACATAGAAGCACTACTCTTTAACTACCGCGCCACAACACCTGACAACCCGATACCTCAACACCTACTACCAACACCAGACAAACGAACAGCAAAAAAACAATCAAAACCGTGCAACCTGTGCAACAACCCAACAACCTAAGAATTCTGTTGGAAATGCAAATACGACCTAACACTGGAGCTACAACAACTCGACATTGAAGAAAACGAAAACGGACCCACCACGAGCGCATCCACCAAAAACCTGGAACACGAAGCCTCCGACTGAAACTATATAGCATGTGTGTGCCTTGTATTACGTCATTAATAAATATATTATATTACACCTACTGTGGTTCCTTTAGTTCCTATGGTAGAGCACACACATCATACCTAGTTTCAATATTTCATTATGTGTGTCTACCCCCACCCCACGTTCGTATTTCCCGCTAAATCTATTCTCTTTTTCATTGGTTTATTTTGGTTTGTCTCATTTTCTATATATTTCATTGGTCAACCCCGTCGCGGGCGGTAGCCACCCCTTCAGGGGTGGCCCAACGAAAGGCGCATGCGCCCACGCATTTTGGAGGCCAATTACACAATTACGATCAATTAATTACCGATATATTTTCGAATAATAGAATTTAAAAGTCGTCAATAAATTAGTTAAAATTACAACACTTTTCTAAAATTTCATAATGTACCATATAATAGTTGTATAATTTATGACATTAACAATAAAAATATTTCAATTGTAATATTAATAATATTGAAAATTTAAGATTTTTAACCTCATCGATAGTTGTGAGGTTATCCGATGCGATTCTACAATGTTCACGATAAGAAGAACACATGCCGACAAATTTCAAGATGCTCATCGATCGTGTGAAGAAAATATCGTGAAAATTCGTTTCAGGAAGAAAGAACTGCATGAACTAGAGATGATTTGTCATGAAGATTCTTTAGATTTCGATGTGAATGGTTATTGTCAAATAATTTATAACGCCTATGTTTAAATAATTTATATACTTATCTAACTATTTCAAATAGATAATTTCCAATTCATTTCTCGGAATATTTTGATTTTTTTTAATTTATTATAATAATAAAAAAATTGGAATATCTGTTCAGATAAAAAGTACTTCACATCATTTCTTAAAATAAAATCTCAAAATTCCCCAAAGTTAATATACTTAAAACGAAAAACACTTTTATACTTCATTCCTTTCTACAAAATTTATAAACACATGATTTTTCTAAATATATTAATTATTGTCCCAAATAAAATTTTTCTACAAAAAAAAAATTAAACAAAATAAAAATTTTATATATAAACGCACACCTTTATAAAAGTTCAAAACGATATCAAATTCTCACCCCATCTCCAACCGGTCTCTAATTGAATTTTAATGACCTTTTCCATATAAAAGAAACTACCCTTCCAACTTTTATTTACCACCGGTGACAATAAACGCGAAACATAATTGGACAGCCATCTCCGGCGCCATAAAGAACGCGAAGATAAAATACAACAAGGCCAGGTCCGTGAAGGACGGCATCAAGGTGTTCCCAGAGACCACCGAAGACTACAGGAACTTAATCAAGTTCCTAAACGCCCACAATGCGGAGTACTACACGTACGCATTAAAGGTTGAGAAAAAAACCAAGATGGTCATAAAGGGCCTCTTTAAAGAACTACCCCTCACAGAGATCGAGGAAGACCTGAAGGCACAAGGTATAGAAGATGCAAAAGTAGTTCAGCTACTGAAGAAAAAGAGGGGAGACAAAGGAGAGAAACTGGTCTCCGAGTTCTTCATTGTGACGACTTGCAATGAAAACATAAAAAAGATTACAAACATTTGCTCCGGAAAGGTCACGCTCGAGGAGCCAAATAAAATCAGTGAGGTACCGCAATGCCATACGTGCCAAAAGTTTGGCCACGGCCAAAGTAGATGCACCTTCCAACACAGGTGCGTCAAGTGCGGCAAGGACCACCCCACCCGGGAATGCACCATTCCGTCGGAGCCCAAAACGGGGAACGTGAAGTGCGCAAACTGCGGCGGCCCCCATGTAGCAAGCTACAGGGGTTGCCCCAGCGTCCCCAAGACCGACGCACAAAAGAGGAGGGAAATTCAAAGAAAACAAGCTCCCCCCACGAGGCAAGAACCACCACAACCACCCAGACAGGCTCCTACTCAACAACCAAGGCAAGTCACGCCGCAAATTCAACAACAGGACATTACAACTATCCTGGCGTCGCTACAAGCCATTTTACTGAAATTAGCCCCCCAGTAAATGGCCATACGAATCAGGCCCACGTCCTTGAGAGCGACAACGTGGAACATACGGGGCATACGGGCCAACAAAGCCGATATCGAAGAATATCTGGCAGAATATGACGTAGACATACTAGGGCTACAACAGACACTCATAAGAGGCGGGACGAACATCAGATTCCACAACTACGTCATATACAGAAGAGACAGCCCAAACGGAAACGCCCGAACAAACGCAGGAATCGCGATACTAGTGAAGGAATCACTAGACCACGAATACTTAGGGATTCAAGACACCGGACTGGACGCCATCACCGTAAGAGTGAACATGAGGGACGGAACCACGCTCAAGATCACCACTGTATACAGGCAAAGTACTGTCAACATCACGGCAGAAGACATAGCTACCCTAATGATGGGAAGAGAATCCCAAATAATAATAGGAGATTTCAACAGTCACGCCAGAAGCTGGAACAGCAGGCAGTACTGTCCAAATGGAAGAACATTGGAAGCCGAGGTAGCAAGAAATGGGGGAACGGCCATCGGACCGGACGAGCCGATCCATTATCCCGACAATATGATGTGATTGACATAGCCATAATCAAGAACCTGCGAATGCCCTACGCCATAGCAACGATGAACGAAGGTAAGTACAAGGTAAGAAGGACGGACTGGAAAGCGTTCAAGGAGAAATGCGCACAAAGGATTAGCCTGGCAAGAAGACTCGTAACGAGACAAGACCCGGATGAAGAGATCGCCACCCTGGAAGGCACGATCCTGCAGGCCTATGAGGACTCAACGACTACCGAAATACGCAAAAAAGACAAAAGAATAGGCGGACCACTCCCTCCACATATCGACAGGAAAATCAGAGATCGGAGAAGACTCAGGAGAATCTATTGGAGAAATAGAATTGAGCAAAACAGAATAACCCTGAACCGAGCATCTAACCAACTGAAGGAGATGCTACGCCAGCACAGAAACAGACAATGGAAAAGAAAAACCGGAGACAACACTATGTGGAGAATGCAAAAGGTATTGCGGAATCCCAGGACCACGATTCCACCAATACACGGAGAAAATGGTCTAGCATACACCAGCTTAGAAAAAGCGGAAGCATTCGCGGACTGCCTGGAGCGCGAAGGCAGGACAAACACCGAAGAAAACGAAGAAACGGAAGAAATAGAACGCAAAATGGCCAGACCAGCAAGGGAGGTTAGAGAACAGGATGACAGTGAGGAAGTCGCTGATCCAATAACCCCTAAAGAAATAGTTGCGCATATAAAGAACTCCAGAACGAGAAAAGCTCCAGGACCGGACCAAGTGACCAACATAATGTTAAAGAACTTACCAAGAAAAGGTTTCGTGGCAGTTACCAATATAGGCAACGCAATCCTCAGGCTGAGGTACTTCCCCGACGCCTGGAAGGAAGCCTCGGTGACTATGATTCCCAAACCAAGAAAAAACAGAACTTTTCCACAAAATTACAGGCCTATCAGTCTAGTAAGCAGCATGAGCAAGATCATCGAAAGAGCTATCCTCACAAGAATTAAGACCTTCACGGAGGCAATGCAGGTATTACCTGAAGAACAGTTCGGGTTCAGGGCAGGACACTCCACCTAAATGCAACTTCTAAGACTCGTCGAACAAGCCGCAGAAGGCATCGAAAGAGAACAAGCAACAGGATTGGTATTACTAGACATAGAGAGAGCCTTCGACCGAGTCTGAAAACAAGGACTCGTGGGAAAGATGAAGACCATAGGATACCCCAACTGGATCTGCAAACTGACGGATTCCTATTTGAGGAATAGGAGGATCCAGGTGAAAGTAGGGCAAGAAAAATCGCAACCGAGGATCTTGGAAGCAGGAGTCCCACATCCCTCCCCATCTCTACACGATATTTACCCACGACGTACCGAAACTCCAAAGAACCGAACTTGGACCGTACGCAGATGATACAGCCTTATCATTCAGGACACCAAACGTAGATTAAGTAACGAGAAAAATGCAAAGAGCACTCGACGATTTGGAAAAATGTTGCACCAAATGAAAAATAAAAATAAACGCCAACAAAACGGAGGCAGTGCTGATCACGAAGAAAAGAACAAGACCCCGCGAAACACTCAACCTCAACGGAGAGGACATCGAGTGGAAGGACTCCGTAAAATATCTCGGGGTGAAGATCGACAAAAAACTAATGTTTAAACAGCACATAGACGACAATATAGCCAAAACCAGGGCAGTAGCGACTCAACTATATCCTATCTTAGGGAGACACAGCGAGATGAACCCAAACAACAAGGTCACGCTGATAAAGGCGGTTATAAGACCGACACTGACCTATGCATCTACTGCATGGGACTTTGCGGCAAAAACCTACATGGAAAGGCTCAGAGCTTGCGAGAGCAAAATCAACAGGCGGGTAGTAGGAGCTCCATACTACGTAAGAAACGAAAATATCAGAAGAGATCTGAAACTCAACACTCTGTTGGAGTTAGTCGTGGATGTTCAAACACACCGCCGCTTCGAGGGTGGCTCTCGACATACCTACCCCGAGACCATAAACACTGCAAATTCTGTTTTCTCACACAAAGTCGTAAAAAGACAGCGGCATCGAAATGAGGGTTGAGGGTTGGGTGATGGTTAGTTTTGCCGCCGAAACTTTTAGCCTCATTTAGTCGTGGATGTTCAAATGCGCTTGTAGTCCTATATTAAAGTGGAAAGTGTGTGGTAGATGCAAATATCGTTTTTATTTTCGAAACGGTCAGTTTTGTGCTGCTTGTGATTTTCGGGTTGCGATTTTTGGTTACGGTTATAGAGAGACACAGTTTTGTTTGTCAGTGCCTTTACTTTTTTTTCGAGATATTTTTACCATAGACAATGAACGGGTAAGTGACTAATTAGATAATTATTTGTAAATCTGCGAGTGAATTATCCTAAAGCCTTTAATTAACTAATCAACCGCTGTTTATTCTGATTCAGTTTTTTATCTGCATTATACAGGTGCGTCGCTATTGAAGTATTACGTTGCCACCGGTGCCTACTCAGGGCCGACACTGTCTGCCCTGAAGCGATATTCGCTTGCGATGGCGTCGAGGCGCATACGTTCTGCGCCTCGTGTGCCGATGTGATTGGCTGGTTGCAAAATGAACCCCCGCTACTTTGCCCCTTTTGCGGGATGATTGTTTTTCGCTCCAGGGTGCTGGAGCGAATGGCTTTTTTGGGAGAAAGGTAAATGTTTTTGTTAAAAAAAAAAGGAAGCAAAATAAATAAATTAAAATAACTCGCTATATTCTTGTTCATCATAGAAGACGCCAAGAAATGGAGAGGATGCCTGGCCCTCCACCCTTAATCCCAATTCAGGAGATCCCGAAGTAACTAATTTCACCCCTTATTTTAAAATAAAAATACTAACACTTTTTTCAACCAAAAAAAAATAGCTTCCAAGACGTAATCTCCATCGGATCCAGCGAGGAGACAGCGGAATTCCCACACCATGGCGGGGAAGTTAGACCGGGTTCGCCAAGCTCGGGGAGTAGCACCGTAAGCTACATTTTCGAGTTGCCGCCTCCCTTGGATCCTGAGGAGTCGCTCGATTCGGGATATGGACACGAACATATTTAAAAAAAGTACGAGCGGGTATTTCCACGATAACGCTGACACCGTTAAATTTCTAATTTTCTTTTTTCAGATTCCGGAATATAAATATTTACTCGTTACCTCTCGTGTTTTATTTCCTCTGTCCTTGGTGCGCAATAAAAGCACAGTTTGTACCCGCGAGGGTACACATTCGCAGAATTATATGTTTTTAAAATAAATGTTTTGGTCAATATTCACTAGGTGGGGTTACCTTATTCAAGAAAATCTTATTCCAAGAGGGGACACTAGTTTACATTCGAACCGCTAGAGGGTGCAGATGGTCACGCGAACAATATGATCAAGTCTCATTGACGCCATTGCTTTTCTTAGGGGTGGGAAAATATCTGGGCTCTGATTGGCTTCGCCGCCATCGGAAACTAGAGGAGGGGGGATCGATTAAACCCCACATTTCTGGTTGCTTATCCAATGGGGGCCAGTTTCAAGGGATTATGGGTAAAGGCGGAAGAGCTAGAGAGTCGTGGGTAAGGAGGACACCCCACAAAAAAAGGGAGAGGAGTGGGGGAAGCCTATCCTGTACCAATAAACTACTAACGCAATACGCGCTGGCACACTTCCAACACCCCCTCCATGTAAAGGATAAAGAAGACTGGAGACGCTACAATAACAGCGTTGACGGCATCATCCTGGACGATCTAGACTTCCCCAATTGCAGTCCCCTCACCTTACTCAAACTACTCGATATGGAGACGCCCATCACCCAGAACATCAAATACGGGGCAACCAGAATTCAAGCAGGTACACCCAGGATAATTTGTGTAAACCACTTGGATCTGTTTTGGCCCAAAGGGATACACACGGAAACAATTAAAGCCTGCGAAAGACGAATAACAATTGTACACATAGAAGCACTACTCTTTAACTACCGCGCCACAACACCTGACAACCCGATACCTCAACACCTACTACCAACACCAGACAAACGAACAGCAAAAAAACAATCAAAACCGTGCAACCTGTGCAACAACCCAACAACCTAAGAATTCTGTTGGAAATGCAAATACGACCTAACACTGGAGCTACAACAACTCGACATTGAAGAAAACGAAAACGGACCCACCACGAGCGCATCCACCAAAAACCTGGAACACGAAGCCTCCGACTGAAACTATATAGCATGTGTGTGCCTTGTATTACGTCATTAATAAATATATTATATTACACCTACTCTGGTTCCTTTAGTTCCTATGGTAGAGCACACACATCATACCTAGTTTCAATATTTCATTATGTGTGTCTACCCCTACCCCACGTTCGTATTTCCCGCTAAATCTATTCTCTTTTTCATTGGTTTATTTTGGTTTGTCTCATTTTCTATATATTTCATTGGTCAACCCCGTCGCGGGCGGTAGCCACCCCTTCAGGGGTGGCCCAACGAAAGGCGCATGCGCCCACGCATTTTGGAGGCCAATTACACAATTACGATCAATTAATTACCGATATATTTTCGAATAATAGAATTTAAAAGTCGTCAATAAATTAGTTAAAATTACAACACTTTTCTAAAATTTCATAATGTACCATATAATAGTTGTATAATTTATGACATTAACAATAAAAATATTTCAATTGTAATATTAATAATATTGAAAATTTAAGATTTTTAACCTCATCGATAGTTGTGAGGTTATCCGATGCGATTCTACAATGTTCACGATAAGAAGAACACATGCCGACAAATTTCAAGATGCTCATCGATCGTGTGAAGAAAATATCGTGAAAATTCGTTTCAGGAAGAAAGAACTGCATGAACTAGAGATGATTTGTCATGAAGATTCTTTAGATTTCGATGTGAATGGTTATTGTCAAATGAAAATGGAAAATGTAAATTTTTACCATGTTCATACTATAAATCATAGATGGGCATTACAAAATCAACGTTTCACATAATTTTTTAAAAGTATTTATACAATTCAAGTTAATAACATTTTTTTACCATCGACATAATTTATAACGCCTATGTTTAAATAATTTATATACTTATCTAACTATTTCAAATAGATAATTTCCAATTCATTTCTCGGAATATTTTGATTTTTTTTAATTTATTATAATAATAAAAAAATTGGAATATCTGTTCAGATAAAAAGTACTTCACATCATTTCTTAAAATAAAATCTCAAAATTCCCCAAAGTTAATATACTTAAAACGAAAAACACTTTTATACTTCATTCCTTTCTACAAAATTTATAAACACATGATTTTTCTAAATATATTAATTATTGTCCCACATAAAATTTTTCTACAAAAAAAATTAAACAAAATAAAAATTTTATATATAAACGCACACCTTTATAAAAGTTCAAAACGATATCAAATTCTCACCCCATCTCCAACCGGTCTCTAATTGAATTTTAATGACCTTTTCCATATAAAAGAAACTACCCTTCCAACTTTTATTTACCACCGGTGACAATAAACGCGAAACATAATTGGACAGCCATCTCCGGCGCCATAAAGAACGCGAAGATAAAATACAACAAGGCCAGGTCCGTGAAGGACGGCATCAAGGTGTTCCCAGAGACCACCGAAGACTACAGGAACTTAATCAAGTTCCTAAACGCCCACAATGCGGAGTACTACACGTACGCATTAAAGGTTGAGAAAAAAACCAAGATGGTCATAAAGGGCCTCTTTAAAGAACTACCCCTCACAGAGATCGAGGAAGACCTGAAGGCACAAGGTATAGAAGATGCAAAAGTAGTTCAGCTACTGAAGAAAAAGAGGGGAGACAAAGGAGAGAAACTGGTCTCCGAGTTCTTCATTGTGACGACTTGCAATGAAAACATAAAAAAGATTACAAACATTTGCTCCGGAAAGGTCACGCTCGAGGAGCCAAATAAAATCAGTGAGGTACCGCAATGCCATACGTGCCAAAAGTTTGGCCACGGCCAAAGTAGATGCACCTTCCAACACAGGTGCGTCAAGTGCGTGCGGCAAGGACCACCCCACCCGGGAATGCACCATTCCGTCGGAGCCCAAAACGGGGAACGTGAAGTGCGCAAACTGCGGCGGCCCCCATGTAGCAAGCTACAGGGGTTGCCCCAGCGTCCCCAAGACCGACGCACAAAAGAGGAGGGAAATTCAAAGAAAACAAGCTCCCCCCACGAGGCAAGAACCACCACAACCACCCAGACAGCCTCCTACTCAACAACCAAGGCAAGTCACGCCGCAAATTCAACAACAGGACATTACAACTATCCTGGCGTCGCTACAAGCCATTTTACTGAGATTAGCCCCCCAGTAAATGGCCATACAAATCAAGCCCACGTCCTTGAGAGCGACAACGTGGAACATACGGGGCATACGGGCCAACAAAGCCGATATCGAAGAATATCTGGCAGAATATGACGTAGACATACTAGGGCTACAACAGACACTCATAAGAGGCGGGACGAACATCAGATTCCACAACTACGTCATATACAGAAGAGACAGCCCAAACGGAAACGCCCGAACAAACGCAGGAATCGCGATACTAGTGAAGGAATCACTAGACCACGAATACTTAGGGATTCAAGACACCGGACTGGACGCCATCACCGTAAGAGTGAACATGAGGGACGGAACCACGCTCAAGATCACCACTGTATACAGGCAAAGTACTGTCAACATCACGGCAGAAGACATAGCTACCCTAATGATGGGAAGAGAATCCCAAATAATAATAGGAGATTTCAACAGTCACGCCAGAAGCTGGAACAGCAGGCAGTACTGTCCAAATGGAAGAACATTGGAAGCCGAGGTAGCAAGAAATGGGGGAACGGCCATCGGACCGGACGAGCCGATCCATTATCCCGACAATATAAACAATCGCCCTGATGTGATTGACATAGCCATAATCAAGAACCTGCGAATGCCCTACGCCATAGCAACGATGAACGAAGGTAAGTACAAGGTAAGAAGGACGGACTGGAAAGCGTTCAAGGAGAAATGCGCACAAAGGATTAGCCTGGCAAGAAGACTCGTAACGAGACAAGACCCGGATGAAGAGATCGCCACCCTGGAAGGCACGATCCTGCAGGCCTATGAGGACTCAACGACTACCGAAATACGCAAAAAAGACAAAAGAATAGGCGGACCACTCCCTCCACATATCGACAGGAAAATCAGAGATCGGAGAAGACTCAGGAGAATCTTTTGGAGAAATAGAATTGAGCAAAACAGAATAACCCTGAACCGAGCATCTAACCAACTGAAGGAGATGCTACGCCAGCACAGAAACAGACAATGGAAAAGAAAAACCGGAGACAACACTATGTGGAGAATGCAAAAGGTATTGCGGAATCCCAGGACCACGATTCCACCAATACACGGAGAAAATGGTCTAGCATACACCAGCTTAGAAAAAGCGGAAGCATTCGCGGACTGCCTGGAGCGCGAATGCAGGACAAACACCGAAGAAAACGAAGAAACGGAAGAAATAGAACGCAAAATGGCCAGACCAGCAAGGGAGGTTAGAGAACAGGATGACAGTGAGGAAGTCGCTGATCCAATAACCCCTAAAGAAATAGTTGCGCATATAAAGAACTCCAGAACGAGAAAAGCTCCAGGACCGGACCAAGTGACCAACATAATGTTAAAGAACTTACCAAGAAAAGGTTTCGTGGCAGTCACCAATATAGGCAACGCAATCCTCAGGCTGAGGTACTTCCCCGACGCCTGGAAGGAAGCCTCGGTGACTATGATTCCCAAACCAAGAAAAAACAGAACTTTTCCACAAAATTACAGGCCTATCAGTCTAGTAAGCAGCATGAGTAAGATCATCGAAAGAGCTATCCTCACAAGAATTAAGACCTTCACGGAGGCAATGCAGGTATTACCTGAAGAACAGTTCGGGTTCAGGGCAGGACACTCCACCTAAATGCAACTTCTAAGACTCGTCGAACAAGCCGCAGAAGGCATCGAAAGACAACAAGCAACAGGATTGGTATTACTAGACATAGAGAGAGCCTTCGACCGAGTCTGAAAACAAGGACTCGTGGGAAAGATGAAGACCATAGGATACCCCAACTGGATCTGCAAACTGACGGATTCCTATTTGAGGAATAGGAGGATCCAGGTGAAAGTAGGGCAAGAAAAATCGCAACCGAGGATCTTGGAAGCAGGAGTCCCACATCCCTCCCCATCTCTACACGATATTTACCCACGACGTACCGAAACTCCAAAGAACCGAACTTGGACCGTACGCAGATGATACAGCCTTATCATTCAGGACACCAAACGTAGATTAAGTAACGAGAAAAATGCAAAGAGCACTCGACGATTTGGAAAAATGTTGCACCAAATGAAAAATAAAAATAAACGCCAACAAAACGGAGGCAGTGCTGATCACGAAGAAAAGAACAAGACCCCGCGAAACACTCAACCTCAACGGAGAGGACATCGAGTGGAAGGACTCCGTAAAATATCTCGGGGTGAAGATCGACAAAAAACTAATGTTTAAACAGCACATAGACGACAATATAGCCAAAACCAGGGCAGTAGCGACTCAACTATATCCTATCTTAGGGAGACACAGCGAGATGAACCCAAACAACAAGGTCACGCTGATAAAGGCGGTTATAAGACCGACACTGACCTATGCATCTACTGCATGGGACTTTGCGGCAAAAACCTACATGGAAAGGCTCAGAGCTTGCGAGAGCAAAATCATCAGGCGGGTAGTAGGAGCTCCATACTACGTAAGAAACGAAAATATCAGAAGAGATCTGAAACTCAACACTCTGTTGGAGTTAGTCGTGGATGTTCAAACACACCGCCGCTTCGAGGGTGGCTCTCGACATACCTACCCCGAGACCATAAACACTGCAAATTCTGTTTTCTCACACAAAGTCGTAAAAAGACAGCGGCATCGAAATGAGGGTTGAGGGTTGGGTGATGGTTAGTTTTGCCGCCGAACCTTTTAGCCTCATTTAGTCGTGGATGTTCAAATGCGCTTGTAGTCCTATATTAAAGTGGAAAGTGTGTGGTAGATGCAAATATCGTTTTTATTTTCGAAACGGTCAGTTTTGTGCTGCTTGTGATTTTCGGGTTGCGATTTTTGGTTACGGTTATAGAGAGACACAGTTTTGTTTGTCAGTGCCTTTACTTTTTTTTCGAGATATTTTTTACCATAGACAATGAACGGGTAAGTGACTAATTAGATAATTATTTGTAAATCTGCGAGTGAATTATCCTAAAGCCTTTAATTAACTAATCAACCGCTGTTTATTGACGGTTAAGTTTCGCAAAATTTAAAATAAAAGGAAAAAGGGAATGCTTCTTCTAAAGAGCAAAAAAAGCAAGGGCCTTTTTTACCGATAATTTTTTGAAATGCCGGGGGTTAATTTTTCTTTTTTCTTCGCGTGTAGCCTAGAGAAGACATTTACCTGATTCAGTTTTTTATCTGCATTATACAGGTGCGTCGCTATTGAAGTATTACGTTGCCACCGGTGCCTACTCAGGGCCGACACTGTCTGCCCTGAAGCGATATTCGCTTGCGATGGCGTCGAGGCGCATACGTTCTGCGCCTCGTGTGCCGATGTGATTGGCTGGTTGCAAAATGAACCCCCGCTACTTTGCCCCTTTTGCGGGATGATTGTTTTTCGCTCCAGGGTGCTGGAGCGAATGGCTTTTTTGGGAGAAAGGTAAATGTTTTTGTTAAAAAAAAAGGAAGCAAAATAAATAAATTAAAATAACTCGCTATATTCTTGTTCATCATAGAAGACGCCAAGAAATGGAGAGGATGCCTGGCCCTCCACCCTTAATCCCAATTCAGGAGATCCCGAAGTAACTAATTTCACCCCTTATTTTAAAATAAAAATACTAACACTTTTTTCAACCAAAAAAAAATAGCTTCCAAGACGTAATCTCCATCGGATCCAGCGAGGAGACAGCGGAATTCCCACACCATGGCGGGGAAGTTAGACCGGGTTCGCCAAGCTCGGGGAGTAGCACCGTAAGCTACATTTTCGAGTTGCCGCCTCCCTTGGATCCTGAGGAGTCGCTCGATTCGGGATATGGACACGAACATATTTAAAAAAAGTACGAGCGGGTATTTCCACGATAACGCTGACACCGTTAAATTTCTAATTTTCTTTTTTCAGATTCCGGAATATAAATATTTACTCGTTACCTCTCGTGTTTTATTTCCTCTGTCCTTGGTGCGCAATAAAAGCACAGTTTGTACCCGCGAGGGTACACATTCGCAGAATTATATGTTTTTAAAATAAATGTTTTGGTCAATATTCACTAGGTGGGGTTACCTTATTCAAGAAAATCTTATTCCAAGAGGGGACACTAGTTTACATTCGAACCGCTAGAGGGTGCAGATCGTCACGCGAACAATATGATCAAGTCTCATTGACGCCATTGCTTTTCTTAGGGGTGGGAAAATATCTGGGCTCTGATTGGCTTCGCCGCCATCGGAAACTAGAGGAGGGGGGATCGATTAAACCCCACATTTCTGGTTGCTTATCCAATGGGGGCCAGTTTCAAGGGATTATGGGTAAAGGCGGAGGAGCTAGAGAGTCGTGGGTAAGGAGGACACCCTACAAAAAAAGGGAGAGGAGTGGGGGAAGCCTATCCTGTACCAATAAACTACTAACGCAATACGCGCTGGCACACTTCCAACACCCCCTCCATGTAAAGGATAAAGAAGACTGGAGACGCTACAATAACAGCGTTGACGGCATCATCCTGGACGATCTAGACTTCCCCAATTGGAGTCCCCTCACCTTACTCAAACTACTCGATATGGAGACGCCCATCACCCAGAACATCAAATACGGGGCAACCAGAATTCAAGCAGGTACACCCAGGATAATTTGTGTAAACCACTTGGATCTGTTTTGGCCCCAAGGGATACACACGGAAACAATTAAAGCCTGCGAAAGACGAATAACAATTGTACACATAGAAGCACTACTCTTTAACTACCGCGCCACAACACCTGACAACCCGATACCTCAACACCTACTACCAACACCAGACAAACGAACAGCAAAAAAACAATCAAAACCGTGCAACCTGTGCAACAACCCAACAACCTAAGAATTCTGTTGGAAATGCAAATACGACCTAACACTGGAGCTACAACAACTCGACATTGAAGAAAACGAAAACGGACCCACCACGAGCGCATCCACCAAAAACCTGGAACACGAAGCCTCCGACTGAAACTATATAGCATGTGTGTGCCTTGTATTACGTCATTAATAAATATATTATATTACACCTACTGTGGTTCCTTTAGTTCCTATGGTAGAGCACACACATCATACCTAGTTTCAATATTTCATTATGTGTGTCTACCCCCACCCCACGTTCGTATTTCCCGCTAAATCTATTCTCTTTTTCATTGGTTTATTTTGGTTTGTCTCATTTTCTATATATTTCATTGGTCAACCCCGTCGCGGGCGGTAGCCACCCCTTCAGGGGTGGCCCAAAGAAAGGCGCATGCGCCCACGCATTTTGGAGGCCAATTACACAATTACGATCAATTAATTACCGATATATTTTCGAATAATAGAATTTAAAAGTCGTCAATAAATTAGTTAAAATTACAACACTTTTCTAAAATTTCATAATGTACCATATAATAGTTGTATAATTTATGACATTAACAATAAAAATATTTCAATTGTAATATTAATAATATTGAAAATTTAAGATTTTTAACCTCATCGATAGTTGTGAGGTTATCCGATGCGATTCTACAATGTTCACGATAAGAAGAACACATGCCGACAAATTTCAAGATGCTCATCGATCGTGTGAAGAAAATATCGTGAAAATTCGTTTCAGGAAGAAAGAACTGCATGAACTAGAGATGATTTGTCATGAAGATTCTTTAGATTTCGATGTGAATGGTTATTGTCAAATGAAAATGGAAAATGTAAATTTTTACCATGTTCATACTATAAATCATAGATGGGCATTACAAAATCAACGTTTCACATAATTTTTTAAAAGTATTTATACAATTCAAGTTAATAACATTTTTTTACCATCGACATAATTTATAACGCCTATGTTTAAATAATTTATATACTTATCTAACTATTTCAAATAGATAATTTCCAATTCATTTCTCGGAATATTTTGATTTTTTTTAATTTATTATAATAATAAAAAAATTGGAATATCTGTTCAGATAAAAAGTACTTCACATCATTTCTTAAAATAAAATCTCAAAATTCCCCAAAGTTAATATACTTAAAACGAAAAACACTTTTATACTTCATTCCTTTCTACAAAATTTATAAACACATGATTTTTCTAAATATATTAATTATTGTCCCACATAAAATTTTTCTACAAAAAAAAATTAAACAAAATAAAAATTTTATATATAAACGCACACCTTTATAAAAGTTCAAAACGATATCAAATTCTCACCCCATCTCCAACCGGTCTCTAATTGAATTTTAATGACCTTTTCCATATAAAAGAAACTACCCTGCCAACTTTTATTTACCACCGGTGACAATAAACGCGAAACATAATTGGACAGCCATCTCCGGCGCCATAAAGAACGCGAAGATAAAATACAACAAGGCCAGGTCCGTGAAGGACGGCATCAAGGTGTTCCCAGAGACCACCGAAGACTACAGGAACTTAATCAAGTTCCTAAACGCCCACAATGCGGAGTACTACACGTACGCATTAAAGGTTGAGAAAAAAACCAAGATGGTCATAAAGGGCCTCTTTAAAGAACTACCCCTCACAGAGATCGAGGAAGACCTGAAGGCACAAGGTATAGAAGATGCAAAAGTAGTTCAGCTACTGAAGAAAAAGAGGGGAGACAAAGGAGAGAAACTGGTCTCCGAGTTCTTCATTGTGACGACTTGCAATGAAAACATAAAAAAGATTACAAACATTTGCTCCGGAAAGGTCACGCTCGAGGAGCCAAATAAAATCAGTGAGGTACCGCAATGCCATACGTGCCAAAAGTTTGGCCACGGCCAAAGTAGATGCACCTTCCAACACAGGTGCGTCAAGTGCGGCAAGGACCACCCCACCCGGGAATGCACCATTCCGTCGGAGCCCAAAACGGGGAACGTGAAGTGCGCAAACTGCGGCGGCCCCCATGTAGCAAGCTACAGGGGTTGCCCCAGCGTCCCCAAGACCGACGCACAAAAGAGGAGGGAAATTCAAAGAAAACAAGCTCCCCCCACGAGGCAAGAACCACCACAACCACCCAGACAGCCTCCTACTCAACAACCAAGGCAAGTCACGCCGCAAATTCAACAACAGGACATTACAACTATCCTGGCGTCGCTACAAGCCACTTTACTGAGATTAGCCCCCCAGTAAATGGCCATACAAATCAAGCCCACGTCCTTGAGAGCGACAACGTGGAACATACGGGGCATACGGGCCAACAAAGCCGATATCGAAGAATATCTGGCAGAATATGACGTAGACATACTAGGGCTACAACACACACTCATAAGAGGCGGGACGAACATCAGATTCCACAACTACGTCATATACAGAAGAGACAGCCCAAACGGAAACGCCCGAACAAACGCAGGAATCGCGATACTAGTGAAGGAATCACTAGACCACGAATACTTAGGTATTCAAGACACCGGACTGGACGCCATCACCGTAAGAGTGAACATGAGGTACGGAACCACGCTCAAGATCACCACTGTATACAGGCAAAGTACTGTCAACATCACGGCAGAAGACATAGCTACCCTAATGATGGGAAGAGAATCCCAAATAATAATAGGAGATTTCAACAGTCACGCCAGAAGCTGGAACAGCAGGCAGTACTGTCCAAATGGAAGAACATTGGAAGCCGAGGTAGCAAGAAATGGGGGAACGGCCATCGGACCGGACGAGCCGATCCATTATCCCGACAATATAAACAATCGCCCTGATGTGATTGACATAGCCATAATCAAGAACCTACGAATGCCCTACGCCATAGCAACGATGAACGAAGGACAGTCAGATCACATGCCAGTGATGCTGACACTAGGGAACGGCGAAGAAATAACGGAAAGCAAGTACAAGGTAAGAAGGACGGACTGGAAAGCGTTCAAGGAGAAATGCGCACAAAGGATTAGCCTGGCAAGAAGACTCGTAACGAGACAAGACCCGGATGAAGAGATCGCCACCCTGGAAGGCACGATCCTGCAGGTCTATGAGGACTCAACGACTACCGAAATACGCAAAAAAGACAAAAGAATAGGCGGACCACTCCCTCCACATATCGACAGGAAAATCAGAGATCGGAGAAGACTCAGGAGAATCTATTGGAGAAATAGAATTGAGCAAAACAGAATAACCCTGAACCGAGCATCTAACCAACTGAAGGAGATGCTACGCCAGCACAGAAACAGACAATGGAAAAGAAAAACCGGAGACAACACTATGTGGAGAATGCAAAAGGTATTGCGGAATCCCAGGACCACGATTCCATCAATACACGGAGAAAATGGTCTAGCATACACCAGCTTAGAAAAAGCGGAAGCATTCGCGGACTGCCTGGAGCGCGAATGCAGGACAAACACCGAAGAAAACGAAGAAACGGAAGAAATAGAACGCAAAATGGCCAGACCAGCAAGGGAGGTTAGAGAACAGGATGACAGTGAGGAAGTCGCTGATCCAATAACCCCCAAAAGAAATAGTTGCGCATATAAAGAACTCCAGAACGAGAAAAGCTCCAGGACCGGACCAAGTGACCAACATAATGTTAAAGAACTTACCAAGAAAAGGTTTCGTGGCAGTCACCAATATAGGCAACGCAATCCTCAGGCTGAGGTACTTCCCCGACGCCTGGAAGGAAGCCTCGGTGACTATGATTCCCAAACCAAGAAAAAACAGAACTTTTCCACAAAATTACAGGCCTATCAGTCTAGTAAGCAGCATGAGCAAGATCATCGAAAGAGCTATCCTCACAAGAATTAAGACCTTCACGGAGGCAATGCAGGTATTACCTGAAGAACAGTTCGGGTTCAGGGCAGGACACTCCACCTAAATGCAACTTCTAAGACTCGTCGAACAAGCCGCAGAAGGCATCGAAAGACAACAAGCAACAGGATTGGTATTACTAGACATAGAGAGAGCCTTCGACCGAGTCTGAAAACAAGGACTCGTGGGAAAGATGAAGACCATAGGATACCCCAACTGGATCTGCAAACTGACGGATTCCTATTTGAGGAATAGGAGGATCCAGGTGAAAGTAGGGCAAGAAAAATCGCAACCGAGGATCTTGGAAGCAGGAGTCCCACATCCCTCCCCATCTCTACACGATATTTACCCACGACCTACCGAAACTCCAAAGAACCGAACTTGG